GGAGAGGGTATAGCTTCGGGGCCGCCCGTCCCTTCCCGCCCCCCCCCGTCGCCGCTCGCAGGCACCGCCTTACAACCAGGTCGCTTAGCAACCCTTGTCTTCCCGCCTTTCCCGGCTACGCCGCGCGCAGGATCAAGCCATCGGTTACCGGGGGAAGATGGGGGCGAGGGGCGAACCACCCTCCCGGGGGCGGGGAGAAGAGGCGCTTGGAGCCCGAGGGCTTCCTCGAAACCAACACCCCGGTGTCAGGGCGGTGCTCCGACAAAGAATTCCCGCGGGGAAGAGAGGGTGTGGCGGGTGGAAACGGGGTGGTCACACTGTCCCCAGAGCTGTGCGGTATCTGTCAGCAGGAGGGTCACCATCGGGGTAGCCACTGGACCTGCAACAAACGTCAAGAATAACAACATAAGAAGGACGTGGACCTGTTGGAGCGGGTCCAGAGGAGGGCCACGAAGATGATCCGAGGGCTGGAGCACCTCTGCTTTGAGGACGGGCTGAGAGAGTTGGGGCTGTTCAGCCTGGAGAAGAGAAGGCTCCAGGCAGACCTTATAGCGGCCTTCCCCGGTACTTAAAAGGTGCACTAGGATGAGGGGTAACGGTTTTTAACTGAAAGAGGGAAGATTTAGATTAGGTATGAGGAAGAAATTCTTTACTGTCAGGGTGGTGAGGCAGTGGCACCCTGGCCAGGGCATGGGTGTTGGAACTAGATGATCCCTAAGGTCCCTTCCAACCTAAAACATTAAAATATGTGTCAATAACCTAAATACAGTTATTCACATTCCATTAAAACGTAATCCAAATGAAGACATTATGGGCGCATGCATCTACATACGGCAGAATTTTGTCTTTGATAGTCATCCCTTTTCATTCATCCCTCGTGCTATTTTTCCATGTGCTCTTCAATTATTTTGGGGGTTTTATTATCACGGAATCACAGGATTTTCAGAGTTGGAAGGGACCTCTAGAGATCATCTAGTCCAACTCCCCTGCTAAAGCAGGATTGCCTAGAGCACATTACGCAGGACTGCACCCAGGTAGTTCTTGAAAATCTCCAGAGAAGGGGACTCCATGACCTCCCTGGGCAGCCTGTGCCAGTGCTCTGTCACCCGAACCGTAAAGAAGTTTCTTCTTGTATTTGAACAGAACTTCCTATGTTCCAGCTTGTGCCCATTGCCCCTCGTCCTGTCACTGGGAACCACTGAAAAGAGTCTGGCTCCATCCTCCTTCAACCCACCCTTTAGATACTTGTAAGCAATAATAAGGTCTCCCCTCAGCCTTCTCTTCTCATCGTTTTCTTCTATTCACCTGACCACTGTTCTTCCTTTCCTCACTGGAAGTGCCACTACGCACCAGGGATTTGGGTCAGCGCAGCCACAGTGCTGCCTCCCCCCACCTTCACGCACGTTCACAGCCCTCTCATGATCACAGTTGTGTGGCTCACATAGCTGATTTGGCAGAAACCTCACCCAACAACAACAACAAAAACCCCCAAAACCCTAAAAGGTGATGAACATTTACTTGGATCCACCTCATGAAGCAGGTTTCCACACAGCCATAGGATGGCTCGTGCTACCTTGAGGGAAGGGAGGGAACGTGTAGGTCTCTCTTGGCTGAGCTCAGGTTGTAGTGGAATTCATGCTGCCTGACAGTGGAGCTTCACAACTGGCATAACCTGATGTTGGCCTGTAATGCCACCAAAGGAGCAATCCCTCCTGCTCTCAGCTGGGCTTCTCTGCTGAAATCGCTGCCCAGGAGACACAGCTAAAGTAATGCTGCAGGGTTAAATTGCAAATACAGCCAATGATAAATCATACTTAATACCATTATAGAAAGCTAAGTTAAAACATCATGTTTTCTACATTTGCTCATTAAAATGCATCTATTGCTGGGATCTGTGGGACAGCAGCACTCCTTCACAAGTACAAGCAAGGCCTCCCTGTGCAGTATCCAATGATAAGTGATGTACCTTAAAGCAAAACAAGAGCCTGATGAGACTAATCCGCTGTGTTCATAGAGACCCATAGTTCTGCACCGAGCTCTATAGAGCTAGCTCTTTGCCGATGGTAGAGACTGCAACAGAACAATTAAGATTGGTGTGAATGAATTACAAACAGCAATGTATATGTGAAAGCAACATAAAAGCAGTAAGGCAAGGGTTAAAAGAATGACCAAGAGCACAACTGGGAGCTGTAAAACCAGTAAACACAGAGAACCCCTCTTAGTAAACTGAGACCAGAAGGCCTGCGCTCCGATAAGGCACTGTCACAGGTGATATCAGAAGGCCTGCACTTTGAGAACAGAAGGATGCCAATGAGGTTATAGCACGCTGTAAATGCCATCCAGCTCCCCACTGTCACAACAGAGGAAGGCAGAATGTAGCCATGGAGGTATCCAAAATAAGGAAACAAAGAAAATGGGGAGAAACCCTGCCTAGGATTAATAGAGGCTGAAGTAATCAAGAATTGGAGGGAAGCAACAGATCACATTATTCTAACTCATGGTCATAAAAGACCTGCCCAGAAAGCAGTTTGTCATCACCAGTCCCAAGGACGTCAAGAGACAATAAGCGCTCAAGAGCAACAGTAAGGACTGCATAGGTAGCATTCTCTTGCACACACGCCATCCTGGCTACACCACGAGGACACACAACTCTTGGCACTTGTGAGATACAAGTGTGAGAAAACGTCAGCGAAGCACATGAGAAAATGAGTATGTGGGCTCAAAATCAGTTGTTTCTTTCTAAATAAATATTACCTTCCAGTTCCTTAATGTTTCATACCGAGTTGAACTCCTACACCTTCAAGCATCCCACGTAAACAAGACAACAGTCCACCTGCTCATGGTAAGTAATAACCTACTGCCCAATTAGAAACCTAGATGACAATTTGAGTAGTTATTAGTCAGATCAAAGCTTTGACAGTTTGTCATAACAAATGTTCTAAAAAACCAAAACCACCACAGAATGAATGCTGTGGGGTTGGTGGGGTTTTTTTTGCTATAAAGAGAATGAGGAAATCTTTAAGGAGTCCTTCTGGTGAAACTGGGACAGCTGCGACGAGGCACTGAGGTTTAGCTAAAGACAGAGATGGCCAGAGCCCATCAGAAATACTTGCACTAGAGCAACACTTGCAAACCTCGAAGGTAACATTGCAACCAACTTTATTCCAGCTTGTCTGTGTCAGTAACAAACACCTAACTCCAGTTTGCGAGCAAAACTGAGCACACCCCTCACCAGATTACGAGCGGGGTGAGGCCGCAGGGCGGGAATCACGCAGCGGCCTACACACACACCCCATAGCGATGGCGTCTCTTAACGGCGGTGGGCGCGATTTGCAGCGGGGACACGAAGCACCCCAGCGTCGCTCGGCAGCGGGAGGGAGGGAGGGAGCTGCCCGCAGCCAGGCCTGCC